TAAAAAAGTATTGTTCTTCCCATTCCGAATGAAAGTGGTATGTCTTTACCTTCTTACAACTGCTTGCCATAATATTATTTTTGTTGTTCTCTACTAACCCAACCGCTGGACGTTGGTTACGCGTTCAGTTTCAAACTAAGCGCAATGTCGCCGCGCCGTGCGTATTTATCCCGTTCAAAGCAATCCAGATCGTTCTCGAACACTAACGCGCTGGTCCGGCTGGTCGGTTCTAGCCGATTTTAGCTTGATGGCGTCAGCGGAGGATTGCTCACCGCAATGTTGCCGCTGTTTATGTTTAACATTATGACAATTAGATTTTTTTGCGGAATTTTCGGGAGCTTCTCTGGTTTTTGCATTTTGTATTTTTTAAATTAAAATCTTTGTGAGAGCTACCAGAATTGCCTCCGCGAGCTACCGGTAACTTGCGATCGACAGGTTGGCGACCACTGGTCTAAATGATAGATGAGTCTAAAACCAAAAAATTACAAGGAACGTTAATTACATCGGTAGTAGGGGACGGGTAATCGCCTGCTTCTATCAGGAGAACAGTGAAGGATTCTTGCTCCGAAATTCTGTTTGCAACTGCGCATCCTGCAGCGCCTGCGCCAACTATGATGAAATCAAATATGCTCTCTTCCTCCTGGACGTAGTAAAACAAGGTGTTAATGGTGAGAAAATACTATGAATATGAGCAAATAGTTTCATCTCATATATTCATATATTTGCAAAATATTGCTACTAGTGAAATAAGGAATTGAAAAACAGTTCAAAGAAGAGAAGGATCACTATCTATCTGCGATAATGGATTTCAGATTGATCTGGAACCAAGATCTAGAAAGAATAAAAAAAAGGCTGATGTTACAATAGCCGAAATACTAGTATCATGAACCTACTCCTTCAGATATTTAATAACATGGGAGGTAGAGCATCCAATTCAAGGGAGTGAATATATAGAAGAGTGAACATCAAATATAGGTACTCAAAAATTATGAGATCAGAGTCCGTTTTCGAGACAAACTTTACAACCGACAGAACGTCAAGAGCAAATGATAAACAGTCCTCGAGAACAAACACGGCAGAGATACTTGGTATGAAGTGGGGTTGGAATAAACTGAGCGAATGGAAATTTAGATTGAAGCTGGGTCATTATGATTCCAATTAAAAGTGTATGCAATCCTGCAAGGAGGACTCAACAAAATGAACAGATTAATATTCTCAAACGGTGTGATGATTAAAAGAAAGTGGTGAAGAAGAACAGATTAACTGTACACTGGACATGCAGAAGTTAAAAGAAACGAAGAAGCAATGTATCATCAACTCTGTATATGGGTTGTGAATTAGTTGTGGGGTTCCCAGAAGCATCGTATTGATTCAGAGCAAGTAGAAGGTGGTCAATAAATATGAAGAGTACAGTGAAAATATACCTAGAAGCGTACATGAGAAAATGAAGACAGTCTGAAAAAATAACTGAAGAAAAGCTTCAACAGAACAGGATTCAGCTCAGAATAATTATAATAGAGGAAACATAAACAGGATATCTCGTGGAAGACACCGAAACTCAACGATCAAGTATTAAACCTAAAGATATGAACTTCAAATGTTCAAGCCAGACTCAGATATACCTACACAGTAGGTTGAAGGAACTGACGCCTATCAGAAAACAACTACTCCACTGGCGGATACCACGAACGGCGTTGGATTATATCTGACAGGCGTCAGTGCAGGAATCTTCACAGAAAATTTCCTACATATGCTGCCGGCCAGTGTCGTAACTATGATTAAATTTAATAAGGGTAGCAAATGGAACATGACTTCTNCCTGATAAACAATATATCACGAAATTATTCATTTGGAAGCTATCTGAGCAAAAATTCCGTTCAGATCTGAGCTCAAGAGAGAGAGAGAGAAAGTTACTAATGAAAAAGCCATTTTTCGCATCAGATTATATAAATTATTTCAGAGATAGTGCTGTAAAACTAAATACGTACGTTTAATAATTTCTGACTATAATCCCTGGGATAAACATCATATAGTCCGATGAGTTTGATGTTGAAGAACAACACATTTATCAGTATCACAAATGCATTCGCCAAGGGTCCTCTTATCGGCGATATGTCGTATTCTACAACACCATGCATGTTAACTTTTTAATTAACAATAAATTTTGAACTTCAAATGAAACTAATAACTTGACATCTTCAGTTAATCATAGTGACATATCATGAATAACATATTTCTATGCGCTACTACAGGTACGTTTTTTTGCTACTATTCCGATACCGTTTTTATGATTTTTGATTCAGTTTCCAGTTTCTATTTTTCATTTCATCTCAAAATTCTAGAAATTTCGGAAATGAAGTCGAGTGGGGGTACTCGAAATGCTCATTAAAAATGTTGATATTTTCAATCTCAGTTTGGCCGGTACCGTTTGTTCACTAAAAAAATATCATACATATATATTTGAAAATTATTTCGGAGATTCATCATACGTTCGTTTATTTCCAAAAAAGAATCATTTGAAATCAATTTCTTTCCGAAGATGTAGTTTTTGTTCTTCCTAATATTTGTTTTATATCATAACTTGAGGGTAAAATCTATTCCAAAGATACGTATTGCAACATTTCATTTCATACTGTGTGCGAGAAAATCTGAACACAAAGAAATTTGTTTTGCCAATTTTGAATTGTAGATTGTAAGATACGAATTATTTATAGTTTCTTTTTTTATTATCATAGATTTGGGACTCTTCAGAACAGTCTACAGTAGTACTCTAAATGAATCATAATTAGAATGCTGACACCTATTCACTTATTCTTTATTTTAATTATTAACGTAATAACGTAACGCATAACGGCACAGTTCCCTTCATTCTAACACACATCCCTAGCCGTATTTCGGACAAACGAATCTCTCGTCTCTCTTCGCATGACTCAGTGTTCAGTGTGCGGTCGACATATACTGTTGACAGTGAGCATATAACGTAAAACGGTCACCGCTTTAAGAAATGATTATACAAAATTTGTTGAAACGAGCAGAAGATGATCTTCGGAATATTACAGAATTTCTTAACGAAAGGTTAGTTCGTTTGAAAATGTCCTTATAGGGCATAAAAAACATAGTATTATTTCTCATATCTCAAGATGATCTCCTCACGTACTAACGGATACATATATCAATTCATCAGAGAGATATCTACTTTTATTATTGCCATACTTAGAATCGGTGTGCTCTGGGTACTGCAGGTGGTAGAATTGTTTGCAATAGGTGGTAGCATTGCTTGAACTTTGAACCGATACCGATTCAATATGTGAAGGATGAAATTTTGAAAGGGTCTTTTCTGTGCTTAGCTTCAAATAGAGAACACGTAGTGGTGATTTGAGTAAAATTTTTGAGAATCATCCATAAGAATAGATTCCATCTTTTGAGGTCTGCCTAGCAAAATCATAAGAACATAAAAAAGCATACAGGAATGAAAAAGCACGCAAAAACCATTATAGGACGAAAACAATAATAGTTGCGTTCATTGAAAATGTCCTTATAGAACAAAACAAATACAAGGAGTATAGATAGGAAATTTTATTTCTCAATTTTCATGATCATTCAGTGTTTTCCTTGATTTATTTCAAGGGTAGGGATGCAAAACGATATTACAACTCTGAAGTAGTTTAGGTTAGGTTAGGTCCAAAGTTAGTGGGTCTATTCGAACCTTCACCGCAACCCTCAAGGGTTTATTGTGGCTCACACCTATTTACACTCTGCCAAATAAAGTCAGATTCTTAGTGAAGCCGATTAGTTTGTATGGTGAGTCGTCTATCAGGTCAGATCAGTCGTCTTTCAGGTTCGGCTCTGCCGAACTCTAAAGACTTGATTCGGTCCCCAGCGGGCAGGCACAGAGTATATGCTCTGTTATTGAGGTCGGATAGTCAAGTTGCAAGGTTCCCACCTTGATACCCACGACAAACTTCCCATACGAGGGTTTCTGCATGTCAGCTACATCTGACGATGCCTTAGATTCAGCCGTGCAGGGCTTTTTCGCCACTGGTTTTGGTGAATCACTTGAGCGCAAACGTTTGCTAACCTGCTCATAGGGTTCCCTCACCTGAGACAGATTCTGCTCACACCGCTCAAGAATTTGGTGCAAGGCGGTTTTATAAGGTACCCCGCTCTTGGGGAGACGACTCAGTCGTTTCCTGGCTGCACCACCAAACTTTTTTTAAGGTTCAGTAGGTCGTACTCCTTGTTTTATTGGTATTTTTAAAGTGACTCATATCTCGGTGTAACTAAGTTGGTCTACGTTGACAAGTCCGAATAAGAATTTCAATTTGGTAACCATTTTCATCACTTATAATTTAATTTCTGTAAAAAATCAAGAACCAACCTGCATCCGCAAATCAAGAGCTAGTCATTTTAACTGGGTATAAGTACCCCTTTCTTGCTCTAGATCAGGGGTCTCCAAACTACGACCCGCGGGCCAAATCCGGCCCGCAAGTGTCATCAATCCGGCCCGCGACAGCCATTGATTTACTGTCATCAATCTGGCCCGCGACAGCCAATGGTTACTTAAAACCATTGCTGTTTTATATTCTTGCAAGGTGAGTAAAACTTAACGACAGAAATGATGACAAATAAAACTTAACTTAAGTATCTAAGTTTAAGCATATTGATAACTAACAAATAATTGAAATGAATCACAGTAAAACAAAAACACTAATGAGATTTATGTAATTGTGATTTTCCACCGACAATTCTGCCATCTCGAGGTAATCGGAATACACTAGCTAGAACCAGAACTTCTCGAACCAACGCGGTAATTCCAAATATTTAATTACGCCTAATGCCACCTAGCGGGTAGCTGAAAAAGATAGTACATAGTACCACTACTCGCCACTAGATGTCGTTAAGTGTCACAATACACAATAATAATTGAAATTCAAAAAAAGCGTAAGTTTGCTTAGATCACGCACTTTGCGACTATCCTAGTCTAGAAATATAGTTGAGGGCAGAAATTGGCCCTTGGAACAAACTGAAAAAATCATTATGGCCCGAAAGCTTCAAAGTTTGGAGACCCCTGCTCTAGATCAAGAAACGAGAAAGGGTATGGTACAAAGTAAACAAAATCAAAGTTGAAGAAAACAGCGTTGTGCCAAAGTTTTTTGACCCGGAATTTTATGCGTTGAGAACTGAGACATAATGTGTACCGCACTAGTAGACGAAACGTTTGAGATAAATATCTGCGGACCACGACCAAAAATCCAAAAAAATAGCTTTGTGGCAGTTAATTCCGGCCGTGAGAGTTTACATTCTCTACTTACAGCGTTGTTCAATATCAGAACGAGGCTAAATTGTTTCTTTTACGAGTGTATAATAATCAGTATTATGACAATTCATTTAAATATTTTTGCATCATACTTTCTCTCAAAAATCTATTCGAAATGAGGTTGAAAAATTATTGCGACTCATTCAGCGGGGTCAAATATTTTTTTCCACTGTAACGGAAAATCTTGAACAGAACCTAATTTTGTAATAGTGAATTAGTGCATATTAGGAACGATTTGAAAATGCATTGCATTAATTCAATAACGATTATATTCTCTGTGTGGGTCAGTTACGATTTAATCGACTGAAATTATTAACTTGCAATCCGATCCATCATTATATCTTTTGCAATGGATTATATTTGAAATTACGTGACATATTCTTCAACTGAAAACTATCAACAAATAGTACAATATAAAATTCTGAGAAGCCCTTCTTAATGTAATGAGCATGCTTATGCTCTTGGAATGAAACCAAGGTAGTGACGTGAAAATAATATTTCTGAACTTTCAGTTCCCTGACATCAAACATCATTTTCTTATGTAATGATTCGATGAGAACATGATTTGTTGTCGGAATATTTTCAGCATATAACCCCAGTAGCATGCGTTTGAAATTCAGTTTCACCCATTTGAGAGTCCTGATTGTCTCAAAGCTTTTCTGATCCGAGGTCAAACATCATCACAAACTACTAATACACACAAAATGATGGTCTTACCGGGAGATTTTCACTAAACAGTTTTACAAAAACGCAACACAAATTTGGCTAAACAATAGCTTCTTTGGACGTGTCTACACTAACTAAAATCTCCATATTCAATGCTTTATATATATTTTACAGTTTTGCAGTATACATGAATATCGAATAACTCACTTTTACCTACCCAATTAATGTTTATTACTGGAGTTTTATCCCAAAACCAAACCGTTATTTTAACACCTCGACACGTGTTTCGATCACCAAGTAATCATCTTCAGGAGGAAGATTAAACTAAAGATACGTACAATGTTATCCTTATCTATACTAATACCTTCTCTAGGTACCTGCGTTCTTAAGTGGCTTAAATCAATTTCACAATTTTGCTTTATCTACTAGTCTTAAATTAATTCTACAATGTGTCCTTATGTAATAGACAGGTAAATCCGATAATTATTTTAACGAACTATATAGTATACTATTGAGTATTGGTCCACCATCGTTATTCATAATGGTTTTGTTTTATTTTATTTTATTTATTAAGTAATCTACAGAACAAGCAGTTCCAATAATCGATCACAATATCAAAAGCTAACTAAATAACCATTCTCAATATAATACAATGACTAAAACTGAAGTTACTCCAAATCACCTGAATCAAAATCAAATTCAAAGACACATTCAGTTGAAAATGACAAATGGACGTTTTTCATTCAAATTGACTCTCAGTAAAATTAGTAATAATTTGTAAGGATGACATCTCAATTTCAACATTACATTTGACAAAAGAAATCTATATTCCTCGAACAATTTGCAAGATAACATATATTGTATAGTAGGAAATTTAAACCTAGATTGGTTCGAGGTTTAGGCGAAACAAATATATCTTTCCTTCTATTATTGAAGTATTTACTGTAGTTCAGATAAATTTTTGACAATAAGTGTGGATTATCTACTTTATTATGCAATAGCTTATAGAAAAATAATAGAAAAGTAAGTTTTCTTCTAAATTCTAAGGTTGTGAATTTAAATTCATTCAAGGAAGTATGATAACTAAGATTGAAAATATATTCACCATGTTTTTTGTAATGTAGAAATCTTAACATTTTTTTTCTGTACCTTTTCAATTTCATTTTTATGACCTGAATAATAAGGAGACCATATTATTGCACCATATTCCAGCATACTACGGACAAATGCAT